TTTTGAGGTACAGCGAAAGATTTTTTTAAGTAAAGTCACACCTTGCTTCCACAAAAAAATAAAATAAAATAGCAACTACACAGAACTAATTTCTCTAAGAACAGACTGGAAATGTGACAAGGTGAAAGGACCTATGTAAATCCACAGTGGACATGTTCTGAGGGCAGTTGTGGGAGGAAGAACATATGAGGAGAAGATTTTCTTTAGGACTAAATTACATATGCGGTGACCTAATACTTTGGTTGGTAACTGAGGTAAATTGACCATCCATCAATCAACCGCATAAAACAGAGTTAAGGATACTTTCCAAACATAAGTCTCATTCCTTGAGAACTCTCCCTACTTTGAAATTATTTCTTTTCAAAACTTCAATCTCTATCACTTTTCTTTGTAATGGGGAGCAGCTATTTCTTTTCTAATTTTTGGCCCTAATATTAAGACATAAAAAGCTTTTTAATGATCCATTAGACCCAGCTTATTTCTGTACAGTGGCACCAAAGAGATATTTTATGGAATACCCAATTCTTTTCTTCATGGCATTAAAGTTATTAATTATTAAAAACACTAACACTGAAAATATTTGCTGACTGCATCTTTATGCCAAATGTGGTATGGCTTTCAACAGTTACATGGCATTTTTACATTTATTAGTGCATTTGACCTTTGTAATAATTCTATAAAATAGATATTATTATCCCCCTTTTAAATTTGAAGAATCTCCACAGCAAACATCATACTTAATAATAAAACTGCAACAGAATTCCCATTAAAGTCAAGACTAAGAGAAGAATGCCTCTTTTGTCATTCTTACATAGCATCGTTCTGAAATTTCTAGATAATGAGGTATAGACTGCAAAGGAGAAGAAAAAGTTATTTTATTTGCATGTGGCTTTATTGCTCAACATATAAAACTCAGCAAAATTAACTTGAAAACCTGAGCAAAAAAAGAAAAAGGAAAAACACTATAGCAGTTGTGTTTTGCTCCAAATGCTAAAACAACTGCAATAAACAATGGCTTAAATATGCAAAGATTATTCTCTCATGTAAAGGATATGGAGGTAGATGGCAATTCTACAAAATCATTAGGGAGTCGGCTTCTTGGAGCTTTCTACTCTGCCTTCACTAGGGAATATCCTCATGGCTCCTGCATCTAGGAGTCATTGAATTCCAGTCAGAAAGAAGGAAGAAACAAAGAAAGACATATACCTTCCCTTATAGAACCACTGCCCAGAAGTCACACAAAATATGTCTGCTTATATGCCATTGGTCACAACTTACTCACGTGGCTACAACTAATGCCAAAGGGGGCTGAGAAATATCTTTATTCAAGGTGACCATGTGTCCAACTAAAAATCAAAAGTTCTTTTAAAGAAGAAGGGGAGAATGCATTCTGGGCATCAACTCAAAGTCACTGCCCCCAGTACAGTTCAAAATATTCACAATAAAAAAGTGAATTATGAAGGAATGAAATTAATAAAAATTGCATTAGACAGTATAAAACCTTGCTGAAATTATTTAAACAAGTTTTAAATAAACAAAAATAAATATCGGGGTGCCTGGATGGCTCAGTTGGTTAAGCGTCCAACTTTGGCTCAGATCATGATCTCACAGTTCATGAGTTCAAGCCCCACATGGGGCTCAGTGCCGGGCCTGCTTGGGATTCTCTCTTTCTCCCTCTTTCTCTGCCCTTCCCTGACTCATGCTTTCTCTCTCTCAAAATAAATAAATAAACTTAATAAATAAATAAATATTATTTTTTCTGGATTGAAAGAAGCCATAATGTAAATATCTGAGCTTTCCCCAGATTCATCAACGAGCAGTATGTAATTAAAATGAAATCCCAAAGAAACTGAACATTATGAAAATGATTCTGAGATGTTAGAAAATAAATGGATGAAAATTGGTGAGAAATTTTAGGGGTAAAAAGAGAAGGGAGCTGCTGACTTACTCCATCAGATACTAAAGCATACCACAAAGTTATAACAATTAAGGCAGTATGGGTTTGCACAAGAACAAATAGTGATGACAATGAACAGAATATTAAAACTAAAGAGATAATTATTTACTGAAATTTAGTAAATGATAAAACTGGTGATCTAGCTACATGAGAAAGCAGCACATACCAAAAACAAAACAAAACCAAACAAAAACAAAAATCACCCCCCAAACATCTAATCCTACTGCCTATTTACTTCATCTACTAAAATGGCCCTTAGCTCTTCCCTTCTCAGCAATCGCTTTATTATGTTATGAAAGTTATAAATTCTAGTGACTAAGACCTCAGGTTCTAGAACTCGAAAAGACCCAGATTTAAATTCTGATTCCACTGCAAGTTGGTTGGATTACCTAAAGGAAAGTCCTTTCCTTTTCTAAGTCTCAGGACAATATAGGGTTTACCTTGCCCAGCTTCTAGAAGTTACTCTGTGAGATGTCCTGCCTGGTAAGAGTGTCTTGGCTTACTTGAAGATTTGGGGCCATGCCAAATAATCTATGTTAACTATGTGATTTATGGTGGGGGCCTTGGGTCATGCAGTATCAACTTGACCTCTGGAGGGGCTGGAAAGTAAGGTCGGCTGTGTAGGAAGTCAGCTTTATCTACATGATTGACTCTGAATAAGAACCCTAAACCCCAAGGCTCAGGTGAGATTCTCTGGTACCACGCATGTTGCCACACAGCATTGCTGGGAGAAACAAACTCTGCTCATATGACTCCATGCAGGGGGATAGCTTCAAGTTTGTACCTGGCATCTTCTGAATTCTACCTTACTTTCCCCTTCCCTTTTCTGGAAGAAACCATCACCATGTGTCTAACAGCTTTCATAAGGTCTGTGAGTGCTTCTAGTCTATCACTGAAACTAAGGGAGTCTTGGGGACTCCCCAACTGTAGCCTCTGTCTTTTACTTTATAATGGGTGCAATAATATTGAAGAAACCATCACCATGTGTCTAACAGCTTTCATAAGGTCTGTGAGTGCTTCTAGTCTATCACTGAAACTAAGGGAGTCTTGGGGACTCCCCAACTGTAGCCTCTGTCCTTTACTTTATAATGGGTGCAATAATATTACAACCAAAGAGTTTGTTCTGAAGATAAATGAGACAATGTCTATAAAGTATTTGGCACAAAGCCTGCCAACAACAATTATTCCACAAATATTAATTTTGTTAATTTAACTTAGTGGAAGGAAATATATCATTCAATAAGTCATATTGAGACAATGGTTTGGCAATTTATGAGAAAAATAAAGTTAAAGCAATACATCACATTTCATTTCCAGATAAGTCTAGGATAGATATAATGTTTACACATAAAAAATAAAGTCATCAAGAATTTCAGGAAGTTATAGATGAATGTATCTGTTCTTATGAGGGGACTGTTCTTTCTAAGCATAAATTGGAGAATATCCCAAAGAGCTATGATAAATAATTTAAAAATACATAAAAATTTAAAAACATTTGTATTCTCTAATAAGCACCTTGAACAAAATTAAAATCAGGAAATAAAATGTGAAAATATTTGAAACATATAGAGCAGGCAGAGGGAGGGCTAATACCCTTCATATATATTTTAAATAGTTATATATTTTATAAGTATATATATAAAACCCCCAAGTTTAAAAAATGTTCTCTCTTATTAGTAAGCAAAGAAATGAACTCTATTTCAAATACAGCATCATTTTAATCCCATTTAAATGAGAAGTTTACTTATTTTTTTAATGATAATACCCAATGTTGACAACGGTAGGTGTAATAGACATTCTTGTACCATAAATGGAATACAAATTGGCATAATCTTTCCCCAACGTACCCTTCCTCTAGCTAACCTCATCTTCTACTTCACAGAAAAAAATGATAATAAAATTTAAAAAAGAAATCATAAAGCAAAATTTCTTCTCCCAAATCTACATTATCTGTATCTACACTCACTTCTCCCCTTTTCCTTTCCTCTGGCAATCAAAGATATGCCCCTCTATCTGGATGCAGTGAATCCTATCCCCTTGATTCAGATACTAATTCCCACCCCCACATTCATAAAGTTTAAACGATCATTTGTATCTTCTCCTATTTAGAGCTCTTCTCTGGTATCTATACCCTTCTGACTTATCTACTACTTGATTGGTTTCATCTCTGAGTCTCCTGTGCTGGTTTCTTTTCTTGCCTTTTTTTTCTAATCCTAAGTTTAATGCCATACACCAAGTATTTGTTCTTTATAGGTGATTTCATCTATACCCATGGACTTAATATTGTTTCTATACTAATGACTCCTGAAATTATGTATCCATATATATTTCTTCCCTGAAACCAATATTTACATAATCCAACTGTCTGCTTGTTATCTCCACTAGAATATCCAATAGGAATCTTAAAGTTAATATATCCAAAACAGAATTCTTAATTTACAACCTCTGTAAACCTGTTTCTCTCATGGGTTCTTTGTCCTGGTAAATAGCATTGCCATTTCTAACAAAAATCTAGATGTTTTCTCAGATTCTTATTTTTCACACCCCTACCAACTACTCCATCATCAATTCCTGTCAGTTCTACTCTATAAGAATATTTTCTTTTAGCATTCATTATGATCAAAATAAAACCAAAGTGACTTCTGAACATCCAATGGGATGAGAGGGAAGAGCATCCACATCTGTACTAAGGGGTTGAACAAACCACTTGCCTGGAAATTCTTCACTTGGGATAGTGGAGCATGAATGCCTCCTCGCATATGGGTCTCTCTATATAAATATCATTACAAAGATACAGAAAGAGAAACATCATCATATTAATTTTTTTTTTCAACGTTTATTTTATTTTTGGGACAGAGAGAGACAGAGCATGAATGGGGGAGGGTCAGAGAGAGAGGGAGACACAGAATCGGAAACAGGCTCCAGGCTCTGAGCCATCAGCCCAGAGCCTGATGCGGGGCTCGAACTCACGGACCGCGAGATCGTGACCTGGCTGAAGTCGGATGCTTAACCGACTGCGCCACCCAGGCGCCCCACACATCATCATATTAAATAAGCAGCAGTTACTTTGGAGTGGTATAATTACATGAAAGCAATGTTTATTCTGTGTGTTTTTGTAGTTTTTACATTTTTACTTATATTTTTAAAATATTTTTAATGCAAAACGTATTATTAAACAATAGAAAGATGTACCTAAAATAATTGCCTTACAATATAAATATGATAGAACTAGTGGCTGAAATTGAGAAATCTACTGTTGTAATAGAAGATTTCAACACTCATCTCTCAATAATAAGTCAAGCAGATGAAAAGAAGTCAAAAAAAGATATAAAATATTTGAATAGAAGAAGTAACAAGCGTGATCTAATTGGACAGAGAGAGAACTCCAAACCCAAGAATCACAGAACATACATTCTTCTTAAGCACAAACGAAACATCTACAAATGTTGACCATGTGCTTGTCCAGAAAGCAAGTCTTAACAATTTTCAAAGAAATGGTATAATATGGATCATGTTTACTGACTCAAAATGCAATCAAATTAGAAATCAGTAACCAATAAACATGTGAAAAACAAATATCCATATATATTGGGAAATTAAACACTTCTAAATGCCCAAAGAACAAGAACTCTTAATAAATATTAACAGTATATTTCAGGGCACCTGGATGGCTCAGTTAGTTCAGTACCTGATTGTTGATTTCGGCTCAGGTCATGATCTCAGGGGTCATGAGATCAAGCCCCATGTTGAGCCCGGCACTGATCTTGGAGACTGCTTAAGATCTCGCCCTCTCCATCTGCTTCTCCCCACCATCTATCTAAAAAAAATTTAAGAGTATATTTCAATCTTCAGAAATTCTAAAACTCTAGCCTGTTGATAAAACTATTAGGAAATAGACGTTCTCATACTCTGATGGTGATAGTACAAAACAATTCCCCTGTGGATGGCAATTTGATAATGCTAATCAAAATAGATATGCATCTATTCATTGGCCCAGCAATTCTTTCCTGGGAATTTCTCTTAGCATACATCTATGCTATGTACAAAATAACATATATGCAAAGTTATTCATTACAACAATGACTACAATAGCAACAGAGAGGAAATAATGCCTGTCCCTCAATAGAATACTAGAGAAACAATTTTTGGTTCTTGCTCACAATGGCATATTTTGTAGCCATCATAAGAATGAAATTTCTAGGACACTTATTTTTTTAACAATTAAGATTTAATCCATTGTTTATAAAGTATGTTCAAGCAAGTTTATAACTAAAAGTTTAATTTTAACTAGTTTGCCAAATTATTGGGACCCTATATGTCTTCCCACTCCTTTTTGACTAGAATCTTCTTCCTTAGGTGCTCTTTTACTTTTTTAATTTTATTTAAATCCACGTTAGTTAATATATAGTGTAAATGATTTCAGGAGATTTTAGTGATTCATCACTTACATATAACACCCTGTGCTTATCCCAACAAGTGCCCTCCTTGAGGCTCTAGGACACTTTCTATCAACAAGGCACAGTGTCTAGAACAAGGAAAGGAAGTATACAGGATATGTTCCCTTTTGTGTAAGAAAAAGGGAAATTAAGAAAAGGTATTCAGGGGGCGCCTGGGTGGCGCAGTCGGTTAAGCGTCCGACTTCGGCCAGGTCACGATCTCGCGGCCCGTGAGTTCGAGCCCCGCGTCGGGCTCTGGGCTGATGGCTCAGAGCCTGGAGCCTGTTTCCGATTCTGTGTCTCCCTCTCTCTCTGCCCCTCCCCCGTTCATGCTCTGTCTCTCTCTGTCCCAAAAATAAATAAATGTTGAAAAAAAAAAATTTAAAAAAAAAAAAAAAAAAAGAAAAGGTATTCAGATCTGCTCATATTTACATAAAAAAACAAACAATAGACCCTCTCACCACTCCTTTGCTCCTTTTCTACATCACCTTGGATGCCCTCGCTAATGAAAGGAGGGAAGAAAGAGCAGCAAAAGGTATCCAGATTAAGAAAAAAGATACAAAATTGTCTTTGTTCACAGATAACACAATTGTGTAAAAAATTCCAAAGGAATCAACAAAAATCTGGAATGAATAAGTGATTATAGCAAGATGGCAGGATACAAGGTTAATATATAAAAGTTGATTGCTTTCCTATATACTAACAATGAATATCTGGAATATGAAATTAAAAACATAATACCATTTATATTAGCATGCCCCAAAATAAAAACTTCTATATAAATCTAACAAAATATGTACAAGATATATATGAGCAAGACTATAAAACTCTTGTGAACAAAATCAAAGAACTAAATAATTGGAAAGAAATTCCATATTCAAAGATGGAAAAACTTAATATTGTCAAATGTCATTTCTTCCCAAATTTATCTATAGATTCAGCATAATCCTGGTCAAAATCACAGCAAGTTGTTTTATGGATAACAACAAACTAATGGTTTTCTGGAGAGGCAAAAGATCTAGGTAGCCCATCCAATATAAAAAAGAAAAAGTTGAAGGACTGAGACTACTCAACTTCTAGACTTACTATAAAACCTCAGCAATTAAGAGACTGAGTTATTGGTGAAACAATAGACAAATAGATCAATAGAACAGAGCAGAAAGCCCAAAATAGATCACCATAAACATAGTCAACTGATCTTTGACAAAAAATACAAAGATAGTCTCTTCAACAAATGATGCTGGAACAGCCAGATATTTTTCTATGTACAAAGAAAAAAAAGAAAGAAAGAAAGAGAGAGAGAGAGAGAGAGAGAGAGAGAGGAATTAGACACAGACTTTACACCCTTTATAAAAATTAAATCAAAATTGATTATAGACCTACATGTAAAATGCAGAACTATAAGATTCCTAGAAGATAACATAGGAAGACATCTAGATGACCTTGGGTATGGGGATGACTATTTAGATATAGCACTAAAGACATGAAAGAGAGAATTGATAAACTGGACTTCCTTAAAATTACAAATTTCCACTCTATGAAAGGCAATAGAAAAGAATTAGAAGACAAACTACAGACTGGGAGAAAATACTTGCAAAATATACCTCTGATAAAACAGTGCTATCTAAAATATATTTTAAAAACCTCTTCAAACTCAACAATAAGGAAACAAAAACTTCAATTAAAAATTGGGCCAAACACCTTGAGAGATACACCTCACCAAATATGTGCAGGTGAGAAATAAGCATATGAAAGGAGGCTCCACAGCATTTGTCATCAGGAAAATGCAAATTAAATGAGATACCACTACACTCCTATGAGAACGGCCAAAATTTGCAACACTGACAACACCAAGTGTTGGCAAGAATGTGGAGCAACAAAAACTCTCATCCATTGATGTTGGGTATGCAAAATGCAGCCACTTTAGGAGATAGCCTGGCAGTTTCTTATAAAAACTAACTTAGTTCTACTATTTAATCCAGCAGTTGTGCTCCTTGGTATTTGCCCAAAGGAGCTGAAAACTTATGTTCACACAAAAACCTGCACATGGATGTTTATAGCAGGTTTATTCCTAATTTCCCAAGATGTGTTTCAGTAGGTGAATGGATAAACTGTGGTACTTCCAGACAATGGAATATCATTCAGTGCTAAAAAGAAATAAGCTATCAAGGCACAAAAAGACATGGAGCGGGGTGCCTGGGTGGCTCAATCAGTTAAGTGTCCGACTTAGGCTCAGGTCATGACATCACAGTTTGTGGATTGGAGCCCCACATTGGGCTCTGCTGACAGCTTGGAGCCTGGAGCCTGCTTCGGATTCTGTGTCTCCCTCTCTCTCTGCCCCTCCCCCGCTCACACTCTGTCTCTTTCTCTCTGTCAAAAATAAATAAACATTAAAAAAAAAGACATGGGGGGGATCTTACATGCATATTACTAAGTGAAAGAAGCCAATCTGAAAAGGGTACATACTATTTTATTCCAACTATATGACATTCTGGAAAAAGCAAAAAAACTATGGAGACAACAAAAATGTCAGTGGTTACCGGGGGTGGAGAGTGGGAGATAAATAAGTGGAGGACTGTGGCTTTTTAAGGCAGAGAAAAATGTTGTGTTACGATAAGGGGTGCCACATTACATTTGTCCAAACTCATAGAATGTACGAAAGCAAAAGTGAACCCTAAGGTACAGTACAGACTTTGGGTGATTATGATGGATTGATGTAGGTTCATCCTTGTGAAAGAATGTACCATTTTGATAAGTGATGTTGGTAATACGGTAATATGATGTTGGTAAGGCTGTGCAAGAGTGTGGGGAGGGAAATTATGGGAAATCTATGTACCTTACTCTCAGTTTTGTTGCAAGCCTAAGACTGCTCTAAGAAAAGTAAGATTTTAGGGGCGCCTGGGTGGCTCAGTCGGTTAAGCATCCGACTTCGGCTCAGGTCATGATCTGGCGGTTTGTGAGTTCCGAGCCCCGCGTCAGGCTCCGTGCTGACAGTTCAGAGCCTGGAGCCTGCTTCAGATTCTGTGTCTCCCTCTCTCTCTGCCCCTCCCCTGCTTGTACTATGTCTTTCTCTCTCTCAAAAATAAATAAATATTTAAAAAAATTTTAAAGAATGCATGAATAACTAATAGAAGTCATAACTCACAAAAAGCTGGGGAATGGAGTGAGTAGGGAAGGTAGGCACCAGATCCTCAGTCTGCATCATATTCCATAGTTTTAATTTATAAATTATGCATATATATATATTAGCTGTTGAAAATTTTGTAAAAAATATGAAGAATGAAAATGAAAACACAGCATGTCTAAACTTGTGGAGTCAATGAAAATAATACCTAGAGGAAAATTTAAAGTCTAATGTACATATGTTAGAAAAATAGAAGGCTGAAAATTAATAACTTAGGTATCTAACTTGGTACCTAAAAACAAAAGTTGAAAATATTAATTATCTAAATATCTAACTTAAAAAATTAGAAAAATAACACCAAAAGAGTAGAAGTAAGGAGATAAAAATAAGGGTAGGATCAATAAATACTTTTGAAATCTGAAAATAAAATAGAAAAGAATCAACAAGTCCCAAAATTATAGCCTCTATTCTAGAATGATCAAAGGGAGGGAGTCAGAGACAGGGATGCAGAGGCAGAGAACATCAGAAATAAAAGTAAAAATAAAAATCTCCAGTAAAAATTGGGAGAAACTGCAGGTCAGAGTCTAAGGGTACTTAAGGGGCCACCTGGGATTATACATGCTCTAGAACTGGACCTCAAACTCAGGCCTTCTGACTCAAAACCAGTGTTTCCATTATCTTCTGTCTATTTCTGAGACACATCTTCACATCATTCTTCTCGTTGTTGTAATTTTAAGACTTTATTTGAACAAAAATCTATTTCAATCAGCAGTGCCAAACTGGAAGGGGGTAGGAATTCTCCACCTAACAGGAGGTGGTGGGGGGAGGAAAGGTTTTTATAGAGAAAAGTCAGAAGCAAACCAAAGAAATTATTGATTGGCTATAGTTTAAAGCCTAGTTGGCTATTTGTGATTGGTCGTTTCTAGCGTTTTGATTTTGTAACCTTGAAGCATTTGTAGGCTTAGATTTTGGTTTGCTTATGTAGGCTGCCACAGCATTACAGTCATGAATGATTTAAGACATGAATGATTCAATCAATAATTATTGGCTCAGAGATTGAGAAGGAAAAACTAGTCAAGTACTTAATTTTCTTCTCTCAGGCTGCCTCTCCTTCTTTGTATATATTTTTTCCACTTCTTGGCGTAGGAATGTGGAGGAGCGTGGATGTGACAGTCATACCAACTAGAATTCCAGCAGCTGCCTGGTCCTTCTCCTCAGAAATTAAGAGTCCTCAAGGCCAAACCTGGAACTTGAAAGGAAAGAAAATCCTTAATATAAACATAATATCGAATAACTTGACATCTACTGACTCATTCCTATTGCTGTCACAGCAACACATATGCCGTAGACATTCACTCCAAGAATTCATGGGGCCGTGCCACTTGTGACGTTTTGCACAGACCCTTCATGCCTCTGAACCCACCATGTCATTAACAAATCATTGGTATTGGTGTGGCTCTCTTTAAATTTTCTTCCACTCTGTCATTCTGTGTCTATGATTCCAGGAATACAAGAAATCACTGAAGGATATATTTCAGAGACTTAGATGGTAGTCACCTTTGCACGAGATTAAGTTTACCCCTGAGCAAATGGGGATGAGACTCTCAAAAACTAACAGCGATTGCTAAAGCTGAATATTTACCAGAATTCAGATATTCATACATTCTCTACTCTCCTTGGTCTACAAATTAAAAGATAAAGCATCAAGGAAAGTTGTATCAAAACAATGATCAGTAGATCCATATACTGCCAAGATTTCAAGTTTCACATATAAATCCCAACCTGATTCAGAGGAAAAGAGTTCCCTAGAGGTTTTAGCTGACTAATACACTTACCTATCAGACATATATTAAGACAACCATAATTATAAAGCGCTTTGCCAAAAGAAAACACGCTTTACAATTTCAGAGTACTATCAAAAAGGGAACAGAACATGTTTTTAAAGTAGCTACTGGGAGGAAGGAGTGGGACTGATTGGCACTGTGATAGTGTATTACTGTAACAAAGCCCTTGTCAGTGTTATTAATACATCTATTTGGAGATCATAAAACAGAGGCCTCAATAACTTATCAGAAAATGGTAAAAATATCATTCTGCTTAGGTTTTCTGATTTTAAATTCTGTGTGCTCCCAGTAAGTCAGGCTCTTCTCAAATCTGCTAACAAATAGAAAGTATACAAAGTAGTTTCTACAGTTCAAAAATGCTATTCATCACTCAGAAATTAAATAAGGATATGTTCTAAAGCAGGAGACTTCAGATTCATTTCCAGTCACTAAGCCATTGATGAGCTTCTTTCCACAACTAAAACGTCTAAAAGCAGAGTGAAGTACATTTATACGGTACTTTCTAAGAAAAGCTTTAGAGACTAGATGAAACAGAAGTTCCTTGCAGAGAGTGAAGTGAAATCTCCATGTCAAAATACCCCCTTTTAAGAAATGAACTTATTCTCTTTCCAAACCAGAAATGAGAGTTTTCTCATGGATGTTGGTTTATGAAAACTCTCTTTTATCTAAAACATATGCTCTGCAGCTGCTTCAGCTATACATCCTGCCATTGGATGTATATCATCACATAAAACTCAGGATCTCCACCTCCCTGGAGCCATATCCCATTTTTTTCTTTTGTTCTTGTATCTCAAGAGGAGAATACAGAGACATTACATGAGTTAACTTTGTCTCCAGCATGAAAATTTGGCAGGGATGATATCATTTCCAGATGCTTTCTTATTTTTCATTTGTTTAAAGACCTCATTCATCAGAGAGTTGGAGAGTTTCTTAAGTTTGCCTCCATCTGGGTATTATGAGGAAGAATGTTGAGAGCATTGTCACCATCAGCATCTCCATTATGACTGTCAAATGAAGCTTCCAATATGTAGAATGGCTCCCCTTTCTCCATCCTGTTCAGTTACGGAGTAATCTATATGTAAAGTAATGGAAGTATCAACATCCATCCAGACCAATAAGAGGGAGTTTAAACTCCACCTCATGATTCTACTGTACAGGTAGCAGTGGGTTGTTTTGTGAACATCAGCAACTGTTTTAGGGGCAGGATGACTACAGACTTCAGATTTATAAATTACTGAAAATACTTAGATGAGTACACAATGATGAAAATGTTGGACATAGACTACTCCAGAAAACAGGTGCTTTGAATACTTTTTAGCATGACTGATTTCTCCAAGTAGTTATAATCTCAGTTCTGCTGAGAATTCTGGAAATGCCACTTAGGTATCTTATTGTTATATGCTGGGTTAAAATTTATTTCCAATAAATTAATAGAAAAATACGTACACTAACCTAATTAACCTCAAGTGGTATAGAAAGAACTTACCTATACAGAATTCAGATGCGCCATAGTCTCACTGAACCAGAATATCTAACAAAACTGGAAATGAGCAGAAAAGACCTAACTTCAGGGAAACTGAAATAAGTGTGACAAAACCAATCCTCCTCTCGGAGCCCATTTATTCATATTTTCAAACATTTTCAAAAAGTCCAATTTTCCATTCTCTGTAGCCAAAGTTGGCCACTTGAAATGATTTAGAACCCAACTTGGAATGTCTTATCTCTTTTAAAAATATAACTTTTAAAATTTGGTGTTATGTTTTCTTGGAACTTGTAAGATTGTATAATGAGAGATTATGTTCTCTTATTCAGAAGACTTTGAAGACTTTCATTCCAAAAGCAACATACCAACCATCTGACTAGTTTTCAAGGACTAAAATATGCTGTTATGCTTTCCTTCAGCTAGAAAAGAGGTGACCCTGACTGTCCCATCTCTGGATAGAGCTATGAAAGCAAGGGCTGGGCACTTCACTCTGTGCACACCTATCACAACATCGAGTTAGGCATTTGTTTTTTTTACACCGGCACTGGCGACACTGAAGAAGATTGGGGTGGACATTTTAGCCCATCTATAAACCTCTACAATTCTCCCATTACTTTCCATGGAACTACCATGATTTGGGGAAAATCAGATGAAATAATCCTTTCTTCATGCCTTCATTTTAGATGCAATGGTATCCTGGTTATACCAAAGCATTTGCCTTTCAGGTGTTTGAGAAATGCACATAACTTTCATGTCATGTGATAACTATGTCTTTACTAGGAACCCAAGGACAGTGTAATACCTAATACCACATATGTAATGTCTTTGATGTAAGATACCGCATGTATGGCTCGGGACATCTGGAGGGTCAGCTGGAAGTCCCTTTCCCTTGGTTCCCTCGCTCCCACTCTCGTTCTCTCCTCCAGGGTCCAGGCTTTATCCAGCCGCTAGTCCTTTGGTCTCTTCTAGTTCCTGCCAGAGGAGTACAGTGACTCTTTCTTCTTTGGAGCTTAACACTGACAAAAAATAAAAACAAGGTCATCTCCTGTTAATGCTCATGGCATTTATACACTAAAATATCCCTCCTCACCAAGGGTGAAGTTGAAAGGATTAAAGAAATGAGAGAGATAACCATGTTCCATTCACATTCATTTTCACCAAAAATTTTCAAGGTATGAGAAGGACAAGGATCTTACTAAAGTCAAGCTGTTTTGCATTCTATAAAGTACAGCATGAATCTGGTAGAACTCATTTCGACAGCAGCTTTTGTTACTTGTTATTAAAGACAGCAAAGCCTTGGCCTTGAGACTATATCATCAAATGGCAGTGGAGGTGATAAGCCTTTCCTGTGAGATGTGCTATATTTCCAAGTGTAGAGATTTCCTCCATATTTGCAGACTGACACATATAATTGTCTCCTGAGATAGAGCATCAAGCAATGTCTTGTTGTTGTTTAAAAGGTTTAATTTCTTTTCTCAAAAAACATACATAAAGTTATGTTTTTGAAAAGTTCGCTTTCTCAGTGAAAATCCCTAACCTAACAAAATGTGGGTTAACAGTGAAAATTGACTTCTAGATAAGTCTCCATTTTAAGTATTTATTCTGATCAAATATATCAACCTTAAAAATTTATAATTACTACACAAAACTGAAATTTAATAGCCAATATCACCTTTTCAAAAAGAATTCCTAGTGTGAACCACTTGGCAATGTTTTCACAATGTCCTATGCCTACTAGAGGCTATAGGATTTTTTTTTTCTTTATTTAGAACAAGTGAGATGAAATAGTTGTTATTCTTATTTTGATGTTCTTGAAGGGCAGATCAAATGAAGCTTATCCACAATAATAATGATTGATGAGCTTCATCTAATGATAATCCTTAATACCTTTGACAACAATCCCAATAGATGCAAACAGCAACAAAGTGCCTGCTCAGTGAAGGGCACTGTGAGTACACAAAATGTGTGCAATTAGTAATGTGTGTAAAAAAAAGAAAAAAAAAAAGTATGTCAATCCCAGCACAGCATAAAGGAAAGACAGCTGACATTGTAATTTTTAATTCCTGGGAGTTTCCCCCAGCTGTGCCAGTTAAGGAAAATGGACATTGGAGAATTTCACTAATTTCTGCGAAACTTAGAATCCACATGTATAAAACGAGCACTTGCTTAATTGTTTCTTTTCTCTCTTGATTTTATGTTTTTTTTTTTTAATTTTTTAACGTTTATTTATTTTTGAGAGACTGAGACAGAGCACAAGTGGGGGAGAGGCAGAGAGAGAGAGGGAGACACAGAATCTGAAGCAGGCTCCAGGCTCTCAGCTGTCAGTGCAGACACAGGGCTCAGACTCACAAACCAGGAGATCATGACCTGGGCCGAAGTCGGACACTTAGCCAACTGAGACACCCAGGTGCCCCTTGATTTTAAATTCTATAAGGTTAGAGATCTTGTCTTTCTGGTTCATTCTGGCTTTACAAGTGTCAGGCATAATGCCTGGCTTTTAGTAAATGCTGAATAAATATGTGATGACTAAAATTATTCAGGGGCACCTGAGTGGCTCAGTCAGTTTAGCGTCCAACTTCAGCTCAGGTCATGATCTCACGGTTCCTGAGTTCAAGTCCCACGTCAGGCTCTGTGCTGATGGCTCAGAGCCTGGAGCCTGCTTCGGATTCTGTGTCTCCCTCTCTCTCTGCCCCTCCCCCACACATGCTCTGTCTCTCAAAAATCAATAAATGTAAAAAAAAATTTTTTTAAAGAAAGACTAAAATTATTCAGCTTTCAGTAAATACTTACTGTGTATTTCCTGTGGTCCAGGTACTGTTCTAGTTGCCTAGTTGCTGGGTATGAGATTGTAGGGTGCCTGGTTAGAAAACAGAGAAAAATCCTTGCCTTTGTGGGGCTTACATTTCAATCAACAAAGCAAGTAAGCAAAAGAGATGCCAAAAAAATAAAAAGTTAAAGTTGGAAGGGAAGCTAGGAAATGTTGGATGATAGAGACGTTTGGTGAAATTTTAGTCAGGATTGCTAGGGAAGTCCTCGGTGAGAAGGTGACTTTCAAGCAAAAACCTGAAGAAAGTGGGCTGCTACCCACATGACCATCTTGGAAGTGACAATTCCAAGCAGGAGGGACAAAAAGTATGAAAACCCTGAGGCAGGATTTTCAAGAAAAAAGCACAGGGCCAGGGTCGTTTATGGAGCAACATACATGGAGGGAGTGAGGATGAAGTCAGAGAGGTAAAGGGGAGGCAAAAAATCACAGGACTTGAAAGTTATAGCAAGGGCTTTGGCTTTGATTGTGAGAGACAGGAAGCTGCTGGAAGGTTCTGAGCAGAGGAGTGACATGAGCTGACCCATATTTGAATAGGATCACTCTGGCTGCTGTGTTAGTAATAGACTACAGGAAGACAAGGACAGAAGTCATATAAACACCTACCTCATAGCACTTTTGTAAGGACTGCTCGGAAATACATGTGGAGAGCCCAGTGCAGACGCAGCCCTAATTGTTCTTCCTCACCAAAGAAGAGCTGTTATCATTCTCACAGATAATGTTTGTGCTCTCCCTGAAGACACACACACCGGGGTTCTGCGTGGTCACTGTTAACAATCCCAAGAGACCCTACCTCCTTTTTGGCAGCCTGGGAGATGGGTTATTGAATTTAAAATGAGCCACAATAACCAATGGACTTCCAAAAGAGATGGCCCTAAAATCTAATCTAATAGAATTCTTCAGGCAAAGTGGAGTAGTCGCCCTACTTACCATCCCTGCCTGGAACCAAAGGATCTCATCCACTTACTGGTGAGGCATCAAAGGGTTGTGAGGACACTGGGAATTTAGCTTTTATCAAATGTTTATATCTAAATTCCATGGTGCTAGCATCAAAGAGCAGCCATTCGCATCAACATCTACAAACAAAACACACAGAGGTGCGTTCCACTCATGCCGTGTCTAATACGTTTTCCTCAGGAAAGCCAAAAGCTACATGCAACATGACAAAATCCATGAACCTTGATTAAATTTCTCCTTAAAATCCCACCACTGAACTTTAAGGTGTTTTATGCTTTGAAGATATAACCGCTTAATTTTATTTCTGCTTAATAAAAAAAAAAGAATCCAACAATTTGAGGGGAGCTGTTCAAGCAGTCCTGACCTTGCAAATAACCAACTGAGCAGGTGGTGTTTCCCTTCGCTTTCTCTCCCCTTCCTGCTCACAGATGTTAAAAGACTCTTTTTTCCTATAGCTGCCCCCACTTTAGTGCTACTTCTGGGAGAGTTTGTAGCAATTAATTCTTTTCTGGTGAATATAATTTATTGTCACATTGGCTTCCATACAATACCCAGCGCTCATCCCAACAAGTGCCCTCCTCCCTGCCCATCACCCACTTTCCCCTCTCCCCCACCCCCATCCACCCTCAGTTTGTTCTCTGTATTTAAGAATCTCTTGTGGTTTGCCTCCCCCGCTCTCTGTTTATAACTATTTTTCCCCTTCCCTTCCCCCACGGCCTTCTGATAAGTTTCTCAAGATCCACATATGAGCGAAAACATGATGTCTGTCTTCTGACTTATTTCACTCAGCATAATACCTTCCAGTTCCATCCACGTTGCTGCAAATGGCATGATTTCATTCTTTCTCATTTGTAGCAATTAATTCAGTATCAGTTTACTGAGGATCTATTTTGTATCAGGTGCTGTTCTAGGTGCTAATGATGCAGCAGGGAACCAAACAAGACATTGCTCTCTGGGAACTTACCCTCAAGTGCCAACTGGAGATTAAAGAAGAGGAGACAAAGGTAAGAAAGAATAACTCACATCCAGGTCCTCCCTTTCACTACATGGCTCCATCCCCAATCACTTTCATCTGGTGGCCTTTGGTAGACACCAACAATAGCATTGTCTGGAAAAGAAAACACTTGAGGACAAATCAGGGCTTTCCTCTGACATGTTGATGAATCATGTCTTACCTCTAGGGGATCCAAGCACACACCACATCACCTATGTGCATTTGTGTTTGAATATGAAGTACTGAGCAGAAAGGAGGAAATATTTGTTCAAAGCCAATAAGTAAAACTCAGTCATATTAGCTTTTAATTTTTTAATAAAACTTTAGAAACTTTGTAATTTTAAATGAAATTTTTAAAACTTTCGAATTTTCCCTTTAATTATATTTCTACACATTTTAGTTTGTTTCCACAGTTACTGCATTATCCAGAGCTACTATTTTTCAGACGATGTTTACTAGAATTACCCACCATAAAAGGCATTTTTTGGTTGCCTTCTCTGCATCTTTTCCCCATTCTACTTTCCTATCGCAACTTAAATTTTATTCAGTTATCCCTTCCCATTTATGATGTCAGGCAAGGTGACATCCCTGATTCCAGGGTAATTCATGGTCAGCATCAGCCAATCAAGTTAGGGCATTCCATGGAGGTGCCAATGCTTTAGGAATGGACATGTGGCCTAAATTGGCTTAATCAGACTGAATGGAAGATGTCCGTGGTTAAAGGAGAAGTTGTTCTCTCTCTCTCTCTCTCTCTCTCTCTCTCTCTCTCTTCTGCTAGATAAAAAGAGATTAGAATTAACTCTGTAGGAGACAGAACCTGAGCCCACCATTAAGAGCCCACCATTGCTCTTAAATGAAGCAAACCTGAGGCTATAACAGATGATCAATTTGTTTACTGCCTAAGCCAATCTGAGTAGCTACTCTGCTACTTGCAGCCCAAAACATTCTATCAGGTACACACTGGAATTGTCACAGCTCTGGGCAAATTCAGGCTTTTTGTTCAGATTCCAAGCAGGAAGAGACTCTTCACATCACAGTCTTTTTAAACCACTCTTGTTTCTATGGCATGAAGAAAGAAAGCTGTGCCAGAATACAAAAGTTTGATCCGGGCAGAGAACACACACACAGAACGTTCAGCCTAGACTTTAACAGTACAGAACCCCTGTACTCTGGGCTTACTTTGAATCCTCAAGGATGGAATTTTAAACAATTGCATGAGTAAAGATCATATTATAGCAATAGGGTTTTGAAACAGAAGTCCTACAAACAGATTACCTGGGTGGGATGAGAACAAGGGAGGGCACAGGGAGGATCTAGATAGGATTATACTGGTTCTGTTCCTTAGTGAAGAGGAGACAGATCAGAGAAACTCCCGTATATCTTGTATATTCTATTATACTATAAAATATATCCAGCATGCATGTGTAGTAAATTGCATTGTTTTTCTTACAGACTATTCAGTCATTCTCAGCAGATCTTACTTTTAAACCCGCAAATAGATTCCTAATATTGCTATCTTTAGACATATTGATGGAGTAAATTCTCTCTCTAGTACATTGCTTGCAAAAAATGGTTGCATCAATTTCTCCCATTTTTAAAAGCATATGCCTTTATAAAAGTGATTTTGCTGCTCTTCTTCTCAAGGTGGAGCTATTTTCCCTCCCCCCTGGCTGTTAGAACCAATGGAATGCAGTAGAAGTGATGTTGTAGACTTAGAGCCTCAACTTTAAGAATCCCTTGCAGCTTCCTCTCTTATCCTCTTGCTGCTCTGAGACTGCCAGGTTAAGGAAGCCTAGCTAGCTTTCTTGGGGTTGGCCCATGATGAGAGAGAGAAGGAGATCTGTGGGAAAAGGCCCAGTCATCTCTGTTGGGACCCAGACATGTTTCTGAGACCATCCAGGACTATCAGTCCCCCATCAAAACACCACTGACAGCAGTTGCACTGATGACAGACATCTCATGAGACCCTGCAAGAGTACCACTCAGCTGAGCCCAGCCTGGATTGTAGATCTGTGAGCAAATGAATTGTTGACATCTCAAAGTTTGTGGTTGAAATTGATACAAACTCCCCATCTGTTAAAGTCAGGATTCTGGTGCATAATCAAGTAAAGGACACTCCTTGTAGGATTCTATCTAAAGGAAGCTTTCTTTTTCTACTTGGATATGCAACATGTTATATTACAAAAGTATCTTAGAAAGGCTGAGAGGTATTTTTTAGGAAAGAGTCATCCTGGAAGGAAAACAAGCTCTGTCTCAATGGAAGGTCCAGTTCTTTCCATTCTATAACTATGACACTTTCCCTAGCCCTCACACCTATGTCCCACTTGCCTGCCATATGTCACAGGAAATATGGTCCTGGATTGGAGCACAGTATTTGATATCTCCAGAGATTCTGCATATTTACATTTAAAATTATTCTAAGTAGAACAAAAATTGTATACCTTATCACATTTACGGGCATAGATTTTTACTAATAGAGATTATAAATACAGTTATTTGCAATATAAGTGGAAAGCAGACTGTTTTTAAGGGCTGGTGCCAAAGTCATCATGGAACTACCTCTAACTTACTATTGGAGACTTATTTACCATAATTGACTTTCTCGTTGTTTTACCTTGTCTTTGACCCAGTACACACTAGCATGATGCTCCTGAATTTAAAAGAGAAAATGATTAATGTGGCAAGAGCAGAGACAGTCAAGCTCATGTACACCAACGGGGACCTAGGGGAAGCCTGATAAATAATAAACACTGCCACCTCTCACACTCTGACTCCCCCTTTCACTGCGCCTTTCAGGCAGCTTTTTAAATGAGAGGTCACTTATTTTAAACCAAATACACCTCTGTGCTATTCTAAACTTATTTATGCCATGGTCAGGAAAAAATATTTACATTTGAAAATGCTGAACATAAAACTCTAGCCACAGGAAAGGTTACCTGTATAAAAAAAAAAAAATAAGTTTGTATCAATATAATTTCCATAATCATTTTTTTTTTTCCTTTCGTAAAACAATTCTTGCCTCTGCTTTGCCTTGAGAGACTAGCTCATGGGTAGTCTCAAGTTTCTCTGAGAAATTTCTCATGCTCATGCTCATGCTCAAATTTCTCTGAGACAATTCCCAAATCAAAAATCTTTGGGGTTGAATGTAAAAATCGTTTAACTACAAGGGGAAATAAAGTAAATCAATTCTGGAAATATAGATGATCGAAGAACAATGATTTTGTAAAGAACATTAATAGACTTCAAAATAATTCTGTGTAGGATGTTCAGACTTAGAAATGGAATATCCAGTTTCTAAAACTTTGGCAATCAGGAGTTAATGAATACTATAATTCACTTTTGTTTCAATGGATCATTTATATCTCCCTCCCACTATTACCAATTATCTTTTTATCCTATTGCTGTTCCTTGGATCTATGCTAATAGCTGTTAGTTTACTAGAAATTGTGCTCTCTCTTTCTCATAAGCAGTAAAGTTAGTTAAGGCACAGGGAATTAGGTGCTGTGGAAAATACAGCTAACATATCATTGAGTATCTTAACAGAAAAATGTAATAAATGGCATATGGAGGAAGAAAGATGGGGAAGGAGGAGGTGAGAGAGCACCATCGTAAGGGTCTCATTGGTACCTAGATAATTGGGCTAGAGTTAACACTTATGCTTTGTTAGCTTCCTACTTCATTCAAAGTTACCAAGATTATTCTATTTCAGTGGTGGCTGAGTTATCATTTGCCTCCTCCCCCATCCTGATGGGAAGTTGCAAATCTGAATCTCTATTAATAAATTTATGGTAACCGTGAGAAATGCACTGGGTTTAAATCTCAAATATGCCCTGTAACACCAGGTCATTTAAACCCACTTATTTTCAGCTTCTCTGTCTATAACATGAAATCACAATACAATACAATAACATGGGTGGCAACCCTCACTCTTGACACAAAGTAAATACTTCACCTGTGCTTGAGGATGGTCATGGTACATGCTATGTCTCTTTGAGGAAATCATTTCATGTATTCTTTCTTTTATCCTTCTAGTCATTTAAGTATTTACTGAGCACCAAATATATAGCAGAATTTGAAACAGGTGTTAGAGATACATGACATACTACCAATCCCTAACTTCAAGGAACTCTCAGTTGAATAGGATGCTCCCAAGGGGTCTTCATAATTTGTTCAGACTTCTCATCTCATTTGTACCTTCATACTTGAGACTTATGGATCACTAGAACAGATTTTAAGGCAATAGTCATTTTCTCAGAATTACTCCAGCCAAAACTTAATTTTTATTCTATAGCAGCCAATATAGTGAAACACAAAGTATAGAACAAAGGAATTTAATGTTCACAACAAATAACAGAATATGTATATTTACACTAACTTTTTGAATCTTCAGATATAATAAAAAGGAATCCCCCTTTTGATAGTCCTTCCTTAAGACAGTACCCAATTCCTTCCAGTTCCCCTTGGGTATGATTTTAGGCCCACCTGCATCAAAGTTAACATCACTAAGGGGATACCAATAGAGAGAAACAGAAAAGGAAGAGGCCAACATAATATTTTACTATTTTGTGATATTAGAAGATAAAAGATGAACAGTCCTTCCAATATCTTTTAGGTGACTGAGTTCAGGTAGAAAGAATTATTACTTATCTACTTATTTCTTGCTTTGTCCCTACAAAATAGATTGGCATATGGATTCCAGGAGGGTATCATGTCTGGATCAACAATGAGTATAGGGAGAAACAAGGAATCTGAAAAGAACATAAGCAAACCTCCATAAATATAGCCAACTGATTTTTGACAAAGAAGAGCAATAAAATGAAGCAAAGATAGTTTATTCAATAAAGGGTTCTGGAACAACTTGACATCCATATGCAAAAAAAAAAAAAAATTAATCTAGACACAGACCTTACACCCTTCACAAAAATTAACTCAACATGTTAAACTCAATGTAAAATTCAAAACTATAAAACCCCTAGAAGATAACATAGGAGAAAATCTAGATGATCTTGGGTTTGGTGACTCCTTTTTAGACATAACACCAAAGACATAATCCATAAAAGATTTATAAGCTAGACTTCATTAAAATATTTTTTAAATCTACTCAGTAAAAGACA